AAAATTTTCAGTCGCCACTTACATACAAATTACATTAATAAACGCAGGAGATATAATTTCTTTGAATGGAAAAATAATTAAAGTGATCCATGAAAGCCTTCTGTTTTATGGTTGGTTTGTTTTTTTTTTTCAAACAAACCCTCACAGTTCAAATGATACATAATTGGGCTGCTGTGTGCAAATTTAAAAAAAAAACTATATTTGCTGGCACTCTTTGAGAATTACAATACCTTAACCTATGTGCAGAATCGGAGTTAATAATTATAATGAAAAAAAATTGCAATTCCCTGGAAACACAATCCAAACAATAACCAGAATATTAAACGGAAGAATACATCAGGAAAATTTGCACCACTCAGAATTATATATTAAAAAAAACAAGTTGTGAAATTGATGTAAACATGTTCAAACTTTTTAGAAATGTGCTTCTATTCCTTTTCAAACAGAGAAACCTCAATAGTTCCATGTAATTTCATGACAGAGAAATATGAAGTATTTACTTGGGGAAATTGGTACAAATATATAGCAGATGCAACAAATTGTGTTCTTGCTCTTACAAATTGTGTTCCCACTTGCAAGTGAGAATGGTGGGAAAGAGTTGAACACATTATCTCTCTATATGTGTAAACTAAATATTGCTCAATTACGCTTGCTTGTGGCCATTTAACAATGTCACATGTGGACTCCTCTCTGAGTTGTACACCTGTACCTATGTAGAATTATACATGTTCTTATGAAAGAACATTGTTAGAGGAGGTTCTTTTTTCAAAGGAGAAAGTAAAGAAATTCCTATGGCCATTATCTTTCTTCGGGATACCTGAGTCTCTAGTATGTCGTATGCAACGCAAATGAAAAAACCCCTTTATTTAAGTTCTTTTGACCATGCAGTAACTCCATTCATAATGCATCTTCATCACAAGTCACACTTTTATGTGAAGTTTAAAGCCTGATTGTTCCATTAAAGTCTGCTAGATATCTATGCCAAGTACCACTTGTTTTCTCGTGGGCAAATTTTCTGATGGCAAAATGGTTTTAACTACGGACCAGTGGTGCATTTCAAAAAACCCGCAAAAATTCACTAGAGCCAGGGGCAAAACTCATGACATCAGCATTTATGATGGCTTTGGAAAATGTAATGTATCATTTAGATTCTTCAAAGAAAAGCTGTGAAATAGTTGGAGATAATTTCTAGAAATATTTTGCTTACATAAGAGATAATGCAAGGAATCTTGTATATTTGCTCGGGAATGAATTCTGAACATGCTTTTATTCCTAAAATATGTAATAAGTAGGGAAAAGTAAGTCCCATAGCAGACCTGCTTTTCTTTAATACCTACAAATCCTTGCTTTTTTTCAAATTTTGCTGTTACATATACTTCCTCAAAATTATCTCTTTACAATATATAGTTCTAATATGTTAAAAAAATCCCTGCTCAATGTAAATTTAAAAAATAGATTTGACAAATAAAGCTTGTCATTGAAAAGGAATCCATCTCTTCCAAAGGCAATGTTGCTTTAGTGGTACAAATAATTATTTACTTTAGTCTTCCTCATAAAAAAAATTGTTAGCACATTTAAAATATAAAATTATTAATAACACCTTTTTAAAAATAGTCATTTTCAAACAGCAATTTTTTAACTTTTCTCTGAAAAATAAATACGAAAATACTGATCATGATTTCATTGGAAACTTAAAAAAATATTTTAAAAATGAAAGTTACATTTAGTAATATACCATTAAATATATTTATAGAGAAATCATACACAACAAATATTTTCAGTGGAAGAAACAGAAGTCCAGAGTTGCTTAATCACTTTAGCATGTATTAATTATTATGCAGGTACTGGTAACCTTTCTGTGTCCTTTCTAGCCACACCACATACGCAAAAAGAAGTGGATTAGTAGCAAATTACCTTATTTTTACATTCTGTTGAATGCAAGAGTAATTCTCACTTTGAAGGAATATCAGAGTCAATTTTTATGTGGGTCTCAACAACTTAAAAATCTGATTCATTCTATATTTCAGGCACCACCAGGAAAAAGCTGATAGGTTTTAATGCAGTGAAGACAAGCCCCTTTTAAACTATAACTTAGACTCAAACCTGCTCAGTTAAACTCCCTAAAGCGACTACTATAGCCTATAACCTCGGAAGTCACAGGAAAAGGGTCATTGTTGGAGTTTTTTACATGTTAAATATCTGGTCAGGTCATTCCATGTGGTTGCAAGACAATATGCCTATTCATTGCTTGCAGAGTTTCTAACTGTCTCTGAATACATGACTTCTGTATCCATATCTGAAATTCAATCTGTAACAGAGTAATGCAATTTAGGTAAAATTTTTAACAATCTTTCATATATTTAATGTCATATAACATGTGCATGTATGGTTTACTTGTAATGCAGTGCTATGGAATTCTCCATATCTGCACTTATCTAATGGGCTGCTGACTCTTGATTGACTTCTTAGTACATTTTAAGAGACATAATATAAAGCACTTCCTAGTAGCGTAGAGATACTCTTTTCAGAGATACTAGTTTCATTGAGAGGATGATGGTGTTTAGAATCTAGTATTAGTAGCTGATAATAACTCAGTGTGTTTTCTGAAAGCTTACGATAAAATAGAATTTCTGGAAAAAGTTTCCCAAAATTTCCAGGGATGGGTATGCAATACAGAAATAGTGTGATCTCTCCTGTTAATCTCATGAAATAGACGAACTTAATTTCACCCAACTGGGAATTGACTTGGTCCCATAGAAAACAAAGTCTTACTATTAAATTCATGAAGAACAAGACCAGACTCTAAGTGATGAAAACATGTGACTGTGTTCTCAAGATGCATACCAATTTTTTAGTTCCCATTTCTATACTTGCACACCAAACAAAACCTTCTAACCTGTTTTGCTGAAGAAGTAAGGTGGAACATTTTTATTCAAGCAAAATAAAGCCAGAAGGCTGCCAGGACAGTGTCCACCTGATCCATCCTCTTGCCTTGAAACAAATGTATTCTTTTACATACAGATGAAAATAATTCTTCATCATATTTAACATTTCATGTACATCTTTTCTTATGGTTCTATGTAGCAGCAGCTGTGTCCTATCCTATTAGATATAATGCAAAACAAGCACGGCATCGACTTTGGAGATTCTGAGTGTTCCTGACTTCTCTAGTGTAAAACAAACTACAATTCATCTCACCACTTCTGTGATTCATTCATCTTAGTTGATCTCTTTATTCTTCGGTTTTCCCTTGAGAAAGATGAAAACCCTTATATTTCTTCAAAGTCAAAGGTCTCTAAAACTAAGTTCTTCATGGGAACAGTCAATTCAGCTTCCTCATGTAAAAATGTATCTAGTTTTCATTATTAAAAAAAAATCTTATTTTTTAAAATCTTTTAATAGAATCTCATTGCATATTATACATATCTGATGAAATGGTTCAAAACCCATAGGTAGTTTTTGAAATTCACACAGGTAAGAGAAGCCTATGTAAAAATGAAATAATATAATTATTTCATGTAAATTTTGAAATTCCATTAAACCAATAGTGTGTTAGATTCTATTGCAGTTTTCCATAAAAGCTTAGTGAACATAATTTTTATGTTTGCACATATGATGGCATATAATATTGTCCACCAGAGCAAAGCAATTTATACAACAAACAAAACAAACATTAACTCAATTTTCATATTTAATGCCTGATTCTTACAGATGTCAATGGTGAGACAATTTATTTCACTAAGGCAGGAGCAAGACCTAAGTAGCCAGTAATGTGCCCTTCAGCTTCCTGTTCACTCAGTGCTGTTCAGTTAATACACTTTTCCATTGCTGTGACAATTTTAAAGCATTTATTCTGTAAATGAATAGTCAGCTTTCATGCAAACAGTCCATTAGCATTAATCATATGACTCTCACATACATTGACAAAAAAGTGTTTGCTATATTTCCCTTATCCATGAGTGGTTGGTAAGAAATGAAAAATAACAATTTTAAAGGAAGGTTAGAACAACTGATCTCTTGACACCATTTCATTTCTCCTCTGAAATGGGAAAAACGATATTCCAAATATGTAGGGTAGCATTTCTGTTAGTCAAAATATAAGTCTTCACCTACTTTATCACTGATCCTGTTGATTAAATTAGCATTTATATTTCCTGATATATTTCTCATTGGAAAATTCTGAAGAATTACAACTTACTGGAGTACAAATGTGCAACTACATAAAAATAATTAAATTAACTCAGTCATTTGCATTGACTAATATAAACATACTTTCTAAATTTTACCTAAAGAATTTCAAGGTATTAAAATCTTACAGCTTTCAAGACATGCCCTTCACTGGAGTTTGACTGAACACTCCTATGCAGTCACTGGAAAAAAATTGCATTAGGGCTTCTGCCTAACAGGAAATTATGCCGAATGCGAATCAAAACCCGGTGAATTCAGTATGAGTTTTGTTGTTTCAACTTTAATTTGCGTTGGATCAAGCTCTTTGCACACAATCTCCCATTTCTTTGACATTAAAGCAATGCCTGTGATTGTCAAAAAATATTTTTCCTTTCTGTTCAAAAAGAGATTTTGAAAACTATCCCAGGACTCTGAAAAATGAAAATCAGACTTGGATTTGTGTGTCAAATAATAATCTTCAGAAGCTTGTTATTTTGCAGATGGAGATTTTAGCTGCCATGTTGTCCTTCTAAAAATAACATGCAGTTTTTCAGTGAGCATGCAGTCAACTAGCAATATCAGTGTGCGTTTTTATCACAAAGAATCATTTGAGAAATCCATCTTTAAAGGTTTCTATAATCAAGTTGGGAAAACTCTTAATTTTATATATAAGGAAAAATATTTTTTAAATCTTTAAAAACATGATACATCTCAAAGTCCTCTTATGTTTCACAGTGGAAGAAAAAAGACCACAGATGAATGTGATAATGGATAGACTATCTAAGAATTAATCAACATTTTTAAAGTGACAATGCTGGCAAACCACAAGAATGGAATGTTAAGGTGTTTATTGTAAGCCAAGAGGAAAAGATTTATATGCATCATCTCCAAGCCAATATACAATAAAATCCATTTTCAGGCTTGAAATAAAATACAATCAAAAGGCCATTTGTGACTCGGAGCCCATGTCTCCTTCTTATGTTATAAAGTACCCCTAAATTTTCCAGCACCATTTTGGCCCTTTTCTTTAAAGGGCAGATACTATTTAGTTAGAAATGCACTTGTATGTTTTTTTTAGTCCTGATCCAACTCCTACTGTTGCCAGAGGAATATTTTCCATTGAATTTAATAGGAATTAAAAAAAAAATTTAAAAGTTCTTTAAGTAAAACTTAGTATCCTCCACTAAAATGCTTGTTGTTAACAGAGATTCGTTTGTGACTGCCCCAGTGGCTTACCAGTAAGCTGATGGGACATGAACAGTATATTTTTTAAACCAGCTGTAAGGCAGAAAAGCTGAGGTTAATATCTGGATTCCCTGATTAAAAACTGCAATTGTTTCATCTATAGGTAAATGTATTCTGGCTATTCCTAGAGTGACCTTGGCAGCCAACTGTGTTGCCCTTAGTGTCAGCAGAAGGAAGGCTGTTGGTGTCAGTGGGCTTTGGATCAGGATTTAAAGACAGAGGAAGCTTGCTTAAGGAGGAAAACAGACATAAAAAATAGTCCAGATTTCCCAGGTTTTGTCACTTGGAGTTTAGAATACCAACAAGACATTTTAAACCCTGAAGAATAATTGTTGTAAGTTAATTATTTTGACCCTGTATATTTTTTACAATTGTATACAAGAATACAGAAGAACAAATCTCTCTGGCTTACAAAAAAAAAAAAAAGGCAAGTACTTTATTTATCAATAGATAGTTCAGCTGCTTTTTACCATTGCAATGACTAAACAAATAGCATAAAATGAACAAAGGGGAGTATAAAATCATTTTACTCAAGCTGGTATCCCAAGACAACCTTTTGACTAAGTACAGAGTTAGATGTTTCAAGTATGGCACTTTATATTAAATAAGAGCAGAGAGAAGGTGATATATTCACAGTTAAACACAATGAACTCTCTTCCTTTGGTATGTATGTCATCATAGGTGATTGTAGGTAAATACATAACGTGGTTAGCATGAACCAACTCCATCTTATTCATGCACATATTAGGGAATCAGTTAAAATGTACCGATAAATTTTGCAGATCACAACTAATTAAGATGATTAAGGTCTCTGGTGTGTGTGTGTGGACAGGCAAACAAAAAATGGTAAAATTATATTCAGCATTTATTGTTTAGCATAACTAATTGATGCACAAACCATGATAGGAAATAGCTAGTAATACACACCAGGAATAAATTCTGTGATTTAGACAAACAAAATAATATAAGACATCTGTGAGATACGTGAACACAGATATCCTGATTGAGCTGTGGTTAGGTTTCCTTACAGTGCGCTTACCCTCCTTTAAAACATGCTTATGTCTGCACATTGCATCCCACCCCATCCCACCCCATACAGAGTATCCTTGCAGAGTTTTGATATGAACATTCTACACATTTACAACAATTAGTCAGACAATTCAAACTGTAAACATCCTAATGACAACCGAAAAGCTGCTTCAGTGACAGATAACACCCAATCATTAGAAAGAAAAGTAGGAATAATAGTAGCTGTGCTGTAAGGCTAGATCAAGCATGGTTTTATAGCTGTTTTTTCAGTCTTTTACATAGTGCTGCATTTTGCAGCTAGTTCAGTAAGTGCAGATCCAATACCTTAATGGCTTTCTTGGTGGATTGATAAAATGCTTGCCTAAGCAATGTACCTTTCTCTAATGGTATCTGGGTCTGTTCCACCTGGCACAATGCTTCAGTTCTGTCACAGCCTCACACATAAGCTGAGTCACTTGACTGAGTCCTGCCAAAGTTAGGCATGCTCATTCTTGGCAGGTCCTTATTTCTGATTTCGTATATGGATTTCCTTTTTGCCTGTACTCCTCTCACTGCCATTTTGATCTTTCTCCAGCCCAAATGGTTCAGTTCTGCCAAATTAAGCACCACACAAATCCCACTGACAGCAAACATGAACACCAAGAATACAGTCTTCTCAGTGGGTCTAGAGACATAGCACTCTACTTCTTTAATGCAAGGATATCTGTCACATTCGTACATGGAAGGGACATTGAATCCATACAGAAAATACTGTCCCACTAAGAATCCAATCTCTAGGGCATTTCGAAAGACCACTTGGATGATATAAAATCGAGAAATGCCTTCTTGCCTCCTCATCTTTGACTTTGTAGTTCTGATAGCAGGATTGGGGATTTCCTTCACTTCTAAGCAGTCTGGTTCTGCCTCTTTGGTGGAGTTCTCAGTGTTCTGCAGCACCCCATTGACAATAGTGTTCTTGATTTTCTTACTGTCCTCACGCTTTATTGAATCCTGGTCCCTTTCCAAGGTAAGGAAGACAGTGGAGTACCTCCGTTCCCTTTGTTTAGCAGACTGGTGAACGGAGTATGTTATGAAGCATAGGCTGGGAGTGCACACCATGATGATCTGGAACACCCAGTACCTTATGTGAGAAATGGGGAAAGCCTGGTCGTAACAAGCCTGGTTGCAGCCTGGCTGCAACGTGTTACAGACAAACATCGTTTGCTCGTCATCGTACACCGTCTCCCCTACAATGGCCACAATGAGAATTCTGAAGATCACCACCACGGTCAGCAGGATCCTGCAACAGAGAAGCCGGTCAGTGCGCGCCGCCGCCGCGCGGCCGGGAGCTGTCCAGTGCTGACCGGGCCCCGCGCCGCGGCCCCGGCCCTGCCACCGACCGGCACCGGCACCAGCGCCCGGCCCCGCTTCCGCGCTGGGGCGCGCAGCCTGCGCGGCATCATCTCGGCGCGGCCGGGAGCCAAAGACCCCGGGCGGCTGTCAGCGCTGCCCCCCGCCCGGCCCCCTCGGAGAACAAGCGATCACACGGGCAGTGGGGGCCCCGAGAGCACGGCCGGGAGCGGCAGGGGGTCGGGGTGGCAGTGGGATCCCGATGTCAGTGGGGTCTCCACACTGACCGTCCGCTGCCCCTTGGCTTCTCGCGGACAAGGACGGCGGCGTTTGCGGTGTCCCCGCGCCTCGGTGCCGTGTGCCGCATACCACCCCCACCACCACCGCTGCACACACACGGGCACTCCAGGCACACCCCGCAAGAGCCTGGCCGAAGAGTACGGCACGGCCGGGACCCACCGTGCCCCGCCGACTCGCCGGTCGGTACGCCCGGACAGAAGGGGATCCCCCGCGGTTCCCCCTTAGCGCTCCCGCAACCCTTACCTCCCTATCATAGTAGAATGCTGCTGCACGGCAGCTTCCAGTAGCCTCTCTAGAATAGTCCATTCCCCCATCGCTGTTCATCCGGAGACAAAGACTTTGGCAAACGGAGGGGATCTCTTCACTTCTGCCTTCCTTTTTTCACCCCTCCTATTTTTGGTTGGGTTTTTGGTTTTGTTTTTTTTTTCAGGGGGAGGGAAAACAAGCAGTTTCTCCACCGCCCGCAGTCCGGTGGCGGGAGTGCGGCTGGAGGCAGCAGTCCTGCCGAGGATTCCCGGCTGAGCTCGGCTCGGCTGGGCTCGGCTCGGGGCCACTTGGCGGCCGCCACCGGCCCGGCCCGCTCGGCTCGTGGCGCGGCGCGGCGGGCGGACCGGCGGCGTGGAGGGAGGAAGGTTGGCTTTAATATCTTGCTGCCTCTAATCTGCCTTTAAGTAGTCTCCGCTTGCGTCACTGACAGGTTGTTGGAGAGCAGCCAAAAGCAGTGCTCGGATTTTCTCATTTTTATTATTCCAGTGAATACAAATAAATAAATTCAATAAAAATAAATGAAATAAATAAACGGAGGAGGAGGAGAGAGGGCGGAGGAAGATCTGCCCCAGCAGGCACGAGGTTCATTGTGCAATCCAGTGCCTCCTTGCCGGAGCAACCCGGCCGGGTCCCAGCTGCCCCACCGCCCCTGCCCGCCGGCACACCCCGCGCTCCGCTCGGGAGCGCAGCCCCGCCAGCGCCGGGCGCTGCCCTCGGCTGCTGGTTAGAAACGATGCCCTAGGGCGGGAGTGTGACACCGTGACCCCTCCAGCCACGGACGCCTGGCCGGGGGGTCCCCAGGGGTTGCTGGGCTTTGCCTCTCTCCCAGGGATCAACACAGCGGTGTCATACAGCAGTAACCTTACCTGGTAGAACTGCTGACCCTTGGAAGATATTGGACTTACAGCTGAGTCTTCCTTCTCCCCTGAATACAGTTATAAGAATCACTATGTAGAAATGAAACTCATATATAGCCATTTCAGATAATTCTGAGATTGAGATGATTGTATTTATGCTAGGAAAAACACCAAACCTTCACAGAAAGCATCTCTAAACAGTACAAGAAAAAAGTACCTTGAATAAATCTCTTGTAATCAGTCCACATAAACTACTATCCTGTGCTTAAAATAATTTTTTCTTTTTACAGATACCCTTACAGACATCACCAAACATTTCCACAAAAAATATTGGCACCAATTGGAATTGAGTTCTCTGGTGAAGAAGCATGAAATATATTCAGTATATTTACATAAAAATCAAGTAAAGTTTCATACCTGCTGTTCCTTTTGCTCAACTAATCTCATTAAAAAACAACATAGGAAAAATTCTTGTCAGTCTTATAATACTTTTACTGTCAAACTCAGTAAAATTAACCTTTCTAAAGTAAAACTGCACAGGCTATTGTAAACAGTTTAGTCCCTTTTTTTCTTTGAAGCTCTCGCATGAAGCAATCCCATGTTATATCAAAGATGTTAAATGTTTTCTGAATAGATGGGACTGTGTTTCATCTGTGCAAGAGGGCATCTGTACTCTTTAGACGCACCAAGGTTTGCTGTCTTTTCATTTGACTAAGTAGATGGTTTCTGTTTCACATGATATTGGGTCAGTTGCCTGATTGGATCCCCAAATCTTTGAATTAGGAAAGTATCAAATAGGAAAAGATCAGTGAATGCCTCTGCACAGACATTGGTAGACTTTTCTTCTCTCCCAATCAAGAGTCTGTGAAGAAGCATTCAATAATCTGGAGTGTTTCCTTTCCACACTGTTAGGAATTACTAGGAAGACTGAATAATCACTTTTTTCTTTAAAATATGACTGCATTCTTCTTGAAAGCCAGTTCTCACCATTTATGCATTTGCTTTTTGTGTATAGTTTCTAAAACTTGCTGCTGCAGCAACACAAAAACTAAAAAGAAGAGGTTTGGTTTGGTTTGGTTTGGTTTGGTTTGGTTTGGTTTGGTTTGGTTTGGTTTGGTTTGGTTTGGTTTGGTTTGGTTTGGTTTAAGAGGACTGTGGTATCTGTCGAGTGCCCTGACAACTGAGTGTCTCATATGGATCCAAAGTATTTGTTTGAACATGAATCTGAAAATGAGAGAAATCAAAGCAGTAAGGGAAGCAGTAATGCATTTGTAGAAGGAGAGAAGGCAGAGAATATGCTAAGAAGCTAATGATGATAATCCTACTTAGCAAACCAAACAGAGAGGGAAAGCCCATGATTGAAGTTACTGAAGAGAGAAGATTTCGGTCCACAGAAAATAAGAGAATTTCTACAAAGGAGAGCGGTCCCCTAGCACTGGGAAAGAAAACCCATTCATCTGAACTTTTAAGACCAGTAAATGAAAAGGAATTACATTCTGATTGTATCAAACACTGGTCTATTAATGAACAGTTAGTCAATGTTTGCTGTGCTACTGACAACCCAGCTGTGAAGACAAGGAGGTGAAATATTGTAAATGAATGCTACAGACATATAAACATTGTTATTAAATTACTTTTGCTTTAATTATGGTTTAATGATAAATACTTTCAGACCTTCACTTGCAGGTCTTCTCATTCTGAAATATCTGACCTCTCCTTTCTTAACAGTACCCTCATATGTGATTCCCCCAGTCATATTCAGATACAGTATTCTTGGCCTTAGACTTGAGAAAGTTTACAGAGCTTCAGACTCTGGTGAGTTTGGGGAAAAAAAGTAATTTCAGTGAGTGTCTCTTTCACAATGCCAACATTCACTTTAAGTGGCCGGAAAACTCAAAGGAGTTTGTTACATCTCAAACTTATGTGTATGATTTCTGAAGCTATGATTTTCTGTTGTTAATTTGAGGCCTGACTTGCTGTCAAAATAGAAGTAATCAGAATCAACATGATGTTCTCTGAGTGTTTAACACAATAGTGAAAGATGTATGAAGAATGTAATTAGCTGCACTTCCATTATCCATTACAAGTATAACAGCAACCTGGGGACTTATATGACAAGTTGTCTAAATCACAAAGTGCTCAAACAATGTATAGTCATGATTGTAAGTTGTAGACATAAGAAGATTTTCAGCTTCAGGAGGTTCATCTTAGTTTTTACACCATTCCCCTGAATGCTTCAGCCTATGGTAAAGCCAGGATTTGCAGAGCAGCAGGCTGCTGAGGATGCTGTGGATGTGTACTGCACAGTATATGGTATTCAGATTAGAAAACCATGACTACACTTCATTCACAAGCATTCAGGTTTTTGAAAGCTTTATGTCTACTGCTTACAAAGCTTACAAAGAACTTTTGCTGATGAAGAAGCAATAACAGCTTGCAACAGGGCCAAGCCTGTGTTGTTCAATACTTTTATCTGTTGCATACTAAGGAAAAAAATTCAGCTTCCTATTCCACACATAGGCTTTTGTGTGGTAGGGTGTATTTTTGTTTCTCTTGCTTTGCATCCAAAGAGAATGAGTATTCTTGGACAATCAAAATTCGGGGTAAACTCTGTCGTTCCTAACAGGATCTCAAACAAGCTTTGCAAAAAGAAAATTCAGTCTGCATGTGTTCAAAATTGCCAGTGCTGCAATATTTATTTCTGATGAAATAATATAGACTAAGTTGATCTTGGATTAGGTCTGAAGAATGAGACTGTATGTGTCCTCAGTTTGAAGCCAAACTGAGGTTAATCTGTCTGTAAGAAGCTGTAGGCCAGATTCTCTCTAAGAAATCCAGCCCTTTTGCCCTGATCTGGTTTTGTAAAAGGTCTGGAGAGCAATCAAATCTTTCAGACTGCACATTCCTCCAATATGGAGCAGAACGGACTGGGAGCAGAGCTGGCACATTTGGCTACTCTGTCAGACCCCCTGCGACCTGGACGTGGATGACATGACTCGGGCAGGATGGAGTAGTCACATGGCTAGTGCCATACTTACTGTCAGACAGTGTGCTGAATAACAATATTCTCGTGCTTTGTTTCTTTCTATTATGAGGTTTCCTGACGTAAAAGCACAACACAGATCTTACACGAGCCTTCCCCACTTACTACCTCCTTTTAAAGTTATACATTCATTATAAATTTATTCCTAATATTTTATCTTAGAATAAATCTAATAAATTGTTAGTACTATCCCAACAATCTTCCTCAATGATCTTTTTTTTTGCAATTGTTTGCAATGGATCCATAATTGCAGCAAATGAATGTCTTATTTAGATTCTAAAATTGCATGACAAATGACTGTATTTCATTATTATACTGCAAACCACTGTTTTCACCAATTGTAGCAAAATGAAAGCAAAGAAAGAGTTTTAATTAAAAATATGCACGCTATTAATAAAGAAAATTATGGATTTTTCTTTCAGTAGTTTTTGTGAAAAAATCAGGTTGCCCCATATCTGCTTTGTGACTGCATTTTCTAGCTAGTGTCATGAAAGAGAGATTTTTCAGCATTATTTTCATAAAGCAGTAGAACTTTCTTTGGAAGACAGTTACCACAAATGCTTCATTTCTGATAGTATTTGGGGTAGTCCATGAAATCTAAGTCATTAGCTACTAAACTGAAAATGCCTTTTTAAGACCTCTCAAAGCCATCTGCTATGCTCTGTTTTCATTTGGTGCCATGTGTGTATTAATGAAATGATTGCATCAGATTAAATCTTTTATTCATAAAATCATCTAGGTCATCTGCTTCTACCTACACTTTCTCTCTCATTAAAATGAGCATTTGTGCGTACGTTCTCTCCCCACTGTATGAGTACAATTCTATCTGCCGTTAACTGCTATATGTAGTTCTTAGTAAGAAATCCCTCTCTGTGTCTTTTTCTCAAATGAAATTCCCACAAAAGACAACTTTAATGTATCACAATACCAAAAGTTTATTTTTTCTGCAGTTTGAAAAGTAATGACTTCCCAAAAGGTACAAGATCTAGATGTACTAATGACCTCAGTCCTTCACAAGACAAACCAACATTGCAAGAAGCTGCATTTTAGTGCCAAGAAATAGGTAGCTCACTCCTCCCATCTGGTCAACAGTGTTTGTGTCAAAGTTGTCAATAGTGAGGCAAGCTTGTCGTCCCTGTTGTGAGGACAGAATATAGCCTGCATTTTTACACTTCATGCTTGACAGTAGGAAGGTGTCGAATGCACAAAATTCAGGGCTTTCTGTTATGCATGAGCAGACAAAACATTCACCCTAATAATCAAATTAAGACTCTATTATGCATCAAAGGTCCATATCTACAAAGGAAGATTGCTATAAATGGAGATTTAATCGGGAAAACAATGAATGTAATAGTAAAGAAGGAATAAACTACGAATAGTCATGAGCTTTTAAAGTGAGAGCTCGTAAGCCATGTTGA